TGCTGAAAGTACTTGAGCGTTAGCTCACCTATCGTTTCGTAGTTTGCCTCGCGCTCACTCAAGCGCGCTGCTGAAAGTACTAAAGCGTTAGCTCACCTATCGTTTCGTAGTTCGTCACGCAGCTTGCTCGAGAAATGCTGTTGAACTCACTTCTCACTGCTCAGGAGCAAAATTAGGGACCCCACACCTTCTTTTCTACCGTCGAGCGCGTCGCGACTTGCAGGTACACACGGAAACTGCGTGAACACCATCGCGCGACAGCTTCTGTATGGAATCAGAATCGTGCTACTACCCTGACAGTGCTTCTCCACGTCGGTACCTAACTTACCTCACCCGACAGTCTCGCTACCGTTCGACGTGTAGAGGAGTTCCACCTTCGACAGCGTCGCTTTTGCTAGAACTGGAGTGGCGGGGGACAGCACGTTGCCAGCCTACACCTGTTGCGTCCACGGTCGTTTTTGCCAGAAATCGGTCAGCGGGGGACAGACTTGCACCTTCGCGAAGCCTCGGAATGGCAAACCGCAAGCGGGACAGGACGTCTGAAGCCTCGGAACATGACCCCTCTCGTCCTCCTAATCGTTTGCGTCCAACTCCAGCTTTCGCAGCTCTACCGATTCAACAGACACGCCCACACACATGTCCGTCATCTGTCCCTACGAAGCTGACCACCACACAAATTTCTTCGTCATCGCCAGAATCAGCCGCTCCACAACCCCCAGCCTCTTCTTCTCAACCCCCCAGGTCCTCAACCCTGCCGCGCTTCATTTCAAAGGAGCAGAAGAGTGCACTTCATAAAGTCCTGGCTGATACCGTAGCCTCCTCCTCTCAATAACACTCTTCACGCCAACATCAAACTGCAGCTGTGCCTACTCCACAACCTTCTTCTCCTTCTTCTTCCCCTCCTCTTGCTGCACCTCCTGCTACGACCACTGACTCGTCTCCTCTACCTACATCGGTCCCAACCCCAAGATACCATTGCAAAACCTGTAACCGCAGCTTCGGCAGCTCGGGTGGTCTTACTCGCCACCTCCCGGCATGCACCCGCAACAACACAGCTCGTTAGCAATCGGCCCGCCCTCCTCCTCTTCGTGCCACCACTACTCCCTTATCCTCTTCAACACCCTTGCAAATAACTCAGGAGGCATGGGACATGGTCGCAACATGGGACTGGGGGATGTTCTTCATTCCCACAGTCACTCCAAGCCCACTGTTGCGTCGGATTCCGCCACGAGTTCGCCTGCTGGTCTTGGACGCTCTACTCATACCACTTCACCGCCTTGCCATCTTCGCGCAAGATATTGCTGCTCATTTCCTCCTCCTTGCTTTCCCCCGACTAGTGCTTCGCTCTTCCACCGCTCCTGCCTCACAATCATCCACAACAGCATGTGCAGCCTTTGCACGTCGTTTCATTCAAGGTGATTAGCTCCCCCTCTTCAACGAAGCTGTTGCCGCTGCTGTTCCAGCATCTTGACCGCACAGTCTATCGTCCACCCGGTCCACAGCTACATTCGCTCGATTGAACAGGGCCAAACGGTTCACGCATTGCGGAGATTGGTCGCGCTCACTTGCTGCTTTAAAGGCTGGAGAGCTTGCCCCACCGACCCCTGAAACTGTCACCGCGCTTAAGGCCAAGCACCCTCTTGCTCCTGAAGAACTTCCGGATTTGCTCTTCAACTTCTCACCTCCGGAAGTGCCGCAGCTCACTATTCCACTTCTTCATCAGGCCTTGCGGTCAGCCCCTCACGGCACAGCTGCTGGTCCTTCTGGCTGGCTGATTGAGCGGTCTCACCTGCCGCATCTCCTCCGCCTGTTCCATAACTGGCTGCAAGGCGACCTCCCGCAAACAGTCCGACCTTATTTCACCGCATCTACTCTTGTCGCCCTTCAGAAGCCGCAAGGAGGCGTCCGCCCCATTGCCATCGGCGAGATACTGCCGCGCTTGCTATCTCGTTGCGTTACTCTTCACTTCAAGCAGGAAATCAGGGATTTCTTCCTTTCCTCCCTACAGTTTGGGGTTGCTGTCTCTGCAGGGATCGAGGTTATGGCCCATGCAGTCCAGTCAGCCCTCTCCCTCCACCCAGACTGGGTTGTGCTTGAACTGGATGTGGCCAACGCTTTCAACTCCTTCAGTCGTTCCTCTATGTTCAACGCCCTGCGAGACTCCCCATTCTCCAGCCTCATCCCTTTCTTCTGCCTCTTCTACGCCTCCCCCTCTTCACTTCATTACCGTAGCGGCCCATTAATTGAGACACTTCAGTCATCATCGGGTGTTCGATAGGGCAACCCATGTGGGCCATTCTTGTTCGCCCTCACTCAGCACCTAGCCATCCGCCCCATCCAGCTGCAATCTCCAGCTATCTTCATCACCTCCTACGCGGATGATACGTATATGGTTGGCCCGGCGCATGAGGTGTTTCCTGCCTACACAGCGCTTACAACTCGTCTCAACAGCCTCGGCCTGAGGATTCAACCATCAAAATGCTCCCTCTGGGCCCCTCTGGACCTTCCTTCAGACCTCACACCTCCATCAGACATCGTCCTTGCCCCTAACGGTATCACGGTTGCGGGAGTACCGATCGGTTCGGACACCCACATCATCTCTACAGTTCGAGACAAACTGCACTCTTTCTCTTCATCACTGCCTCATCACTGCCTCTTCTGCATGACCTTCATGATCCACAGACTGCCTCTCGCATAATTTCTCTATGCATCTCCGCTCGCCCCTCATTCCTCCTCCGCACGGTTGCACCATTCCGCGAGATTGAAGAGCTCTACACTGATTGGGACAACAGCTTGCTTGACCATTTTGTTCGCCTTATCGGCTCTGACTACTGGCCTCCTGCATTTGACCACACTGCCACAGCACACCGACAGACATTCCTTCCCATTCGCCTTGGAGGGTTTGGCCTCCGTTCTTCAGCTGCATCTGCTACTCTCAGTTACCTGTGCATCTTGGCACAAACAGCTTCACTCCTCTCCTCATGCTTTACCATCCACGGCTCATATTTTCCGCCCCTTCATCACTTCAGACATCATGGACCGCCTTGAACCATGCATCCCTAAAGCCTTGTCCAAACTTCATTCATCCATTCGGCAGCACTTCCCTACCTGGCCTGCACTCCACGCTGGCTATCCACAAAAACTGTATTCCTACCTTTCACAACACTTGGACGCTGTCATGCTCGAGCGCGTGCGATCCACAGTAACCTCCCCCCAACATTTAGCCCGTCTGACCTCCCTCCAAGGGCCCCATGCTGGCGATTGGCTTACTGTGGCTCCATGCTCTCCACACATGCAGCTTTCATCCACAGAGTGGTGCATTGCAGCTGCTATCCGTCTTGGTCTCCCCATTCCACACCTCACAACCACCCGTACATGCACTTGTGGCTCGTCATTCACGGATCCTTCAGTCGTCTCACATGCCCTCCGCTGTCCATCTGCTAACGAGCCTACCAGGTTTCATGACGCTATCAAGCATGAGGTTCACCGCATCACGTCGGAGCTTGGTTATATTGTGCAGTTGGAGGATTCACATCTTCTTGCAGGACGTCGCCCTGACATCAGTTGCCGTGACATCAGCTCGGGGACAACATGGGCATTAGATGTTTCAGTCGCAGATCCCCAGCATGGCCCCCCAAACTCCAAAACTACATCCGTCATCAGTTCAGCCGCATTTGCTCGCGAAACTAAGAAGCAAACCTTGTACGCGCCTTCGTTACAAAACTGACCAGACGTGAAACTCCTTCCTCTTGTCCTCAAAACTTTCGGATGCTTCGGTATGTCATTCCTCAGCTTCATCAAGGACTGCAGCCAACGAGGGGCGACACGGCTTCGGGACATGGGTGGCACATCCGACCTTATTCCAGAGCTTTTCGAGACGAGCTACTTCAAGAGGATTTCTTTGGTGCATCAGCGCGAGCAGGCCAGAACCATTTGCCGTCGGGCACAAATCCGCTACAGTACTGACACACTATCCGCGCCACCAGAACCCACTCCACCTTCCTTGGCTGATTTTGCGTACCTTGGTGTTGGTTCTTGAGACCTCATTGGGGACTCAACCTAGGGTAGTAGGCATTGCTGGTTAGTTTTCTTTCCATGCTCGACTCCACTTGTATCCTCTGTACAAATAAAACATTGTAAATAAAGAGGTCAGTATCTCCGCCTGTCACACGGAAGATCCGGGTTCAATCCCTGGCATCGGCGAGTTTTGGTGTCGTTGTTTCCTGCGCGCCTGCGTTCATAATTGATTATTTTCGGAAGGCGCACGGGACAACAGAATGACATAGATGAATAGTATATATCAAAAAAAAAAAAAAAAAAAAAAAGCCCTCATCTCATAAGGCGAATATATTTGTGTCCTCATCACATGCAGTCATGCATGCAATTTTGCATCCAACAGACAGCGAAAGTTGAATGCGGTCAGTTGCATTGTCCCTATCAGCGCAGGTTGTGAATGATGTCATGCGGCCCATTCAGAAGACCATGTGTTGCCGAGATGTGTGGTGTATTCGCTAGGTAGTAGAAGCGTGGGAATGTTCCGCTCCACTTCATCACGACAGCACGTCCCACCATTCCTCGACGAGGAAGCCACGCCGCCGCTACATCGAAAGGGTTTCTGCTTGGCCCATATCCGTGTATTTTGCCTTTCTTCATCTTCCCTCACCCTCACGCGTGGCTGCAGAAGCCATGGCGGATTCTTGGATTGAGATACATCACAGGTGCTCATATAGCGCAGTCTTCCTGGAGTGCGATTCTTTGGCTGCAATGTGCCCTGCCTGGCTGGTTGGTGCACGGTGTGGGTTCTGGTCGGTTCTGAGTGGTGTGTGGGGGGAATGGCATGGACCAGAGCATGGAATGTACCGTACCATGCTGGCAAACAAATCAAGTAGAATGCTCCTTTGTACACATGGATAGATACAATGGTGGGCATTCCAGGCATGACATTACGCAGCCCTAGTCACAACCCCTCCCCTTGGGGTTGTGATACTTTCAGTAGGAGTCTACACCTGGCAGCGGTCCACAGCGCGCTTTGCCACAGGGCACGAACAGGTCCCATAGGGTGAGTGCGAGCACAGCTGATGGGGCCGTGTAGCAGACACCCCCCCTGTAGTAGCAGCAGCGGCAGCAACGGTGGCGATGGCGATGCCAAAGGCCCCTCGTCTGAACTGCAGGCGGAGGATGAGAGCGAGGCACACGGCCACCAGCGCGTACACCACCACCAGCGCCGCCCACTGCAGCCGCTGCTCCTCCTGCATGCGCGCTACAGCCGGGACCACAGCTGCTGCTACAGCTGATGGTGTTGGGGGCGTTGCTCCAGTAGCAGCTATGGATGAGGCTCCGTTGTCCTGCCTGCAGGCCGGCAGTGCAAGCATGGGAAGAGAGGGCAAACAGAGAAAGTTAAGAGAGCGAGAAAAGGCGACTCGCTCAGTAAGAGCACGGCATTCTGAAGGTGAGGGTGGCTCGTGCAATTAGACGGATTTGGTGAATGGTGGTGTAAGCAGAAGGAATCGGAGGCAGTTGAAGTATGACAGGGTAATAAGGGAACACGGCTGTGAGTGAGTGAGTGGGTTTGAGTGCATCTGTGTGCATGCGTGCGTGCGTGCGTGTGTGTGTGCATAAGCAAGGAGGCATGGCATAAGCAGCAACCTGAGAGTGAGGGTGATGGGGCGCACAACAGGCACATCAGAGCCCTCCTGCACGCTCTGCTGCTGCCTTCCGTGCATTGCCGCCCCCCACATCACCGAATTCACCACCTCTCCCACCACCCCATGCCCCTCCTCCTCCCCTCCATCTGCTTCTCCCTTCCCCACCCCGCCCATCTGCCCTTCACCTGCACCTCTCACCCCTGCTGCTGCCCCTCCCCCGCGGCTCTCCTCGTGCCCATACTCTGCCTGCCATTGCTCGTGAGGCAGCCCCCCTCCCTCCTTGGCCTTGCTGCTGCCACTCGCCGCCGAGGCTGCATGAGGCTGGGCGGCAGCAGCGTGTGAGGAAGTAGTGAGAGGCGAGTCAGAGAGGGCAGGAGTGCCGCCATGGTCAGGTGGGGAGCGGGTGGACGCAGCAGCAGCAGCAGAAGCAGCAGCAGTAGCAGCAGCGGGAAGCAGCGTGTGCAGGGAGCAGCGCAGCAGCACGGGCAAGTCACCACTGCCCAGCTTCTCCACCGTCCCCTCTCCCCGCATGGCCCTCTGCACGCGCTCCCCCACGCCCTGGCACCGCCCCGCCCGCACCAGCCGTGCCAGGCGCTGTGCCTCGTGGGAGCAGGTGCGTGGTGGCGCTGTGCGGTGGGAGCGTGGCGAGGGGCAGTCGAGGGTGAGGGACGCCGTGGTGAAGTGCCTCTGCCTCTGCTGCTGACTGTCGTGCGCATCACCCGTGCTCCCACGATCGTGGGCATCCTCCCCCTCTGTGCGCGGCGCGGAGGGCAGCAGCAGCGTGGAGGAGGAGAAGGCGGCCAGTGCCATCCGGCTGGGGCGCACCAGGAGGGCGGTAGCCACCGCTGGCAGCAGCGCTGGCAGGACGGTGGGGAGCGGCGGGGTGGTGGAGACAGACGGTGGGAGTGAGAGCGGTGCTGCGGAAGCGGAGGGGGCAGAGGTGCTGGGTGGGGGTGACAGCAGCAGGGGTGGATGGCGGGCAGAGAAGACGAGGTGCAGCAGCAGGTGCGTGTGGCTGTGACTCTGACTGTGCTGCCCCTCACTCCCACCGCTCCACTCTGCTGCGTCCCTCTGCTCGCCCCCCTCCACCCCTGCACCTGACGCTGCCACACCAGCCTGCTCGCCCCCATCCCCATCTGCACCTGCTGCCCCCACCCCCTCCACCCTCCCGTGCGCCATTCCCCTGTCCGCCTCGCTGTCACCCACGGCTGTTACTGCACTCCCCACCGCCTCCTCCGCGTCCCACAGCACGCGCTGCCCGCCCCTGCCCGTGCACCGCCACCGGATGGTGGTGTACTTCCTGGAAGCCTCCTTGACGATGCTCATGGGGGTGTGTGTGCAGGACGACCACTGGCCGGCCGGAGTGAGCAGGTGCTGCTGCGCTGCAGCAAGGGCTCCGTCCGTGCCACCATCACCATTGCTGCTGCCACCACGTCCACCTTCGCTCCCCTCACTCTCCTCCTCACCCTCCTCCTCATGCTCCTCAGCCTGCGAGTGGTGGGGCTTGGGGGCTGTGGGCGAGGGAGGGCGACGAGGTAGCAGCAGCAGGAGGAGGAGGAGGGGAGGGGCGCAGAGGGCAGTTGTGGGGGGCGAAGCCGATGCGGTGGTGCTCCCTGTCGTACGTCACTCGCATGCCCCTCACCGCCACTCCTGGTGCCGTGCACGCATGCCACGTGGAATCAATAAAGGACACCACGAATGCAAGGGCATGAGTTAATCGAACAGCACCAGTGCACGCACGGAGCTGGAAGCATGGTGGTTGCACAAGTTGCGATGTGTGGTGTGCCTTTTTGGCCCAAGCGAGCTTAGCTGGGGCCACCCATGAAACACCACAGTGCCACCACCCTTGAGCCTTGAGCTCGTCGCTCATGGCTGGTGGGCGCAGGCAGCTGCTTGCTGTGCGTCCGTGCTACAGCCGTGCACTCATGCCTCGCATACACGGCTAAGAATACGGACACACCCCTTTGCCACTTCACACGCAACACAAAGAATGCGAACACCATCATTTCGCCATGGCATGTGCAACACACCATGGTTTGCCATAAGGCTTCGCCAAGTCGCCACTTGGCCTCTTAGAGGCGCCTGGACACCTCTCACACCGCTCCCTCTACCTCTCACCTCCGATGAGCGCCCCTCCAGTGCCGTTGTCAAACACGCCCAGACACACCGCGTCCTCATGCTTCTTGTGCTGCCACGTGGCAGGGAGGGGAAAGCGGAGGGTGCCAGTTGTGCGAGTGGTAGAGGGAGGATAGGCGAGGGCGAAGAGAGGAGGGGAGGAGGTCGAGGGAAAGTGGCAGGTGCAGCGAGGTGGGAATGGGAAAAGAGGGGGAGGCAGGGAAAGGGAAAGAGGGAAGAGGGGAAAAGGAAGGGGGGGGATGGGGGAAGCAGAGCATGGCGCGAGGAGGAGCAGCGCACCTTGAAGAGGTAGTTGTGCGGCCGCAGGTGCAGCGCTGCTCCGTTGCCAAACACTATGGTGGCCGCCGGGAACAGCCGGTTCATGCCGCCCACGCTGATAGAAGGAGGGGAGGGAGAGGAGATGGGGGAGAGGGGGAAGGGCACAGCAGAGGAGGTAGGGAAGAGATTGGGTTGGGTGTTCTGGGGGGTGATGAAGGAAGGGTTGGATGAAGTGAAATGCAGAGAAGGCTCTTGTGGTGATGTGCTGTGCCGTGCATGCAGTGAGCGGCGTGCAGTGTAGCACCCTGTAGCAGGACCGGCAGTGCAGCACCCTGTAGCAGGACCGGCAGTGCAGCACCGTGTAGCAGGACCGGCAGTGCAGCACCCTGTAGCAGGACCGGCAGCGCAGTGGAATGAGGCAACGATGTGCCAGCACAAGGTGGGGAGGCGCGGGAGGGGGGGCTCACGAGGAGACATTGGCGAAGCAGACGTCGGAGTAGCGCGTGTCAGGGCCGGGTACCTGGGGGAGAGGCACGGCCGCCCGCACCTGATGGGCAGAGCGATGCAGAGGGGCAAGGGCGGCATGCGGGGCGAGAGGGATGGGAGGGTGGGTGTGAGGCCGTAGTGGCAGGAGCATGGAGAATTGGCACACCCTGTCGCATAGTGGCAGTGTGCGCGTGGAGAGAGTGAGTCAGAATGGTAGTGGGAGTGAGAGCAGGAGTGAGGGTGAGGTAGAGAGCGGCAGGGAATGAAGTTGTGGTGGGCACTCACGAGGGCAGCGAAGGCGTGGAAGGCGGGGGAGGGCAGGTAGGAGAAGGTGGTGCCGCTGTCCAGCATCACCCCCCCGTATGGCCCCTCCTCCCACACCGCTGCCGCCACCGCCACGCGCTCCTGCCCTACCACCATCTCCTCCACACTCACTATGTAGTACGGGGTCTCGCTGTAAAGGGGATGACCGGGCAGCGAATGGGCGGATGGAGTCAGTTTCTAAACGAAATCAGTTTGAGATTGGCAGATGAGACGAATGGCATGCGAACAAAGCAGCTAGTGGCAAGCGGAAAGAATGGAGACGAGGGAGGGCGGAGGTTAAGGAAGTAACACTGACGTGTCACATCATCATCAGCAGCAGCGGCAGCAGCACCCACCTGGCGGAGGGCAGCAGCACCCACCTGGCGGAGGGCAGCAGGGGCGTCCACACGGTGCCGGGCAGCTCCTCCGCGCGCCCCAGAATCAACTCGCCCCCCTCGCCCTCCACGTCCACAACCCCCCCCTCCCCTCCCCCCTCGCCTTCCCCTCCCCCCTGCCCATGCTGCGCCGTGCCTGCCAACCCCCCCTCCACACGAACGCTAACCAGCGTGTGGCCACCAATGCTACTGCCGTCCACCTCATCAGCCGCACCAAGATAAGCCCCATGCTCAACACCATCAGCCGCATGGGGGTCAGCAGGGGCGGCGAAGCAGAGGGAGAAGACGTCTTCCCGCATGACCCCGGCGAGCAAGAGCTGGTTGGGCAGCGACAGCGCGTCCCGGCCCAGCCCCACTATGCCGTCCGCGCGCTGCAGGTACAGGTCGCCCGTCTCCTGCAGCTCGCACCTGGGAGGGGGAGGAGGGGGGGTGGTGTGCACCGTGCAAGAGGGAGGGAAGGGGCAGTGGGAAACGCTGACTCGCATCTTCTGCTGGCTCGCAACATGTCATGTCAGAAGCCCGCTCCCAGAACAGGTCGCCCGTCCCATGCCGCTCACACCCGTGGGGGGGGAATGGGAGAGGGGACAGAGGGACACCTGGGGTGGGGTGGCAGCATGGGGAATGGTGGCAGCAAGGAAGGGGGGTTGCAGCAAGGAAGGGGGGTTGCAGCAAGGAAGGGGGTTGCAGCAAGGAAGGGGGGTTGCAGCAAGGAAGGGGGGTTGCAGCAAGGAAGGGGGGTTGCAGCAAGGAAGGGGGTTGCAGCTCACCCAAAGACGAGCCGTGGGCCATCCGGTGCAGCCCGCTCTGCCGTGCGAGTCACGCCCTCTCCCTCGCCTCCTCCCCCCTCACCCTCCGCCCCCCCTTCTTCCCCGCCCGCCCCCGCCTCCTCTGCACCCGCCAGCAGCACTCTCTCGCCCGCCCGCCCTGCTGCTGCCGCTGCCAGAGAGGACGACGCCTGAGAGGCGTTGAGGGGCACAGCTGCGGCAGCAGGCAGTGTAGGCTGGAGAGGTGAGTGCGCCTCCTGCACCCCCCCTGCTGGCACGTGGGGCTGTGCAGCAGCAGGGTGTGGCGCGGAGGGGGAGAGGGGGGGCGGGGCGAAGGAGAGGAGGTCGGAGGCGAGGAGGCCGCGAGTGGAGCTGGCTTCGGCGTACACGCCGTGGTACGTGCACAGCCCCGCGGGCGAGCAGGCATGTGTGAGGCAGCGGTGGTGCGCACAGGGGATGGTGGCGTACGACGCTGAGAGCGCCGGGTTGAAGCGCGGATCCTGGTTGGGCCGAGGGCGATGCGACGTGGGGAGGGCGAGAAAGGAAAGGTTGGGAGAGCGAGGGGCGAGAGAGGAAAGGGGGAGAGGGAAGGTGAGAGTGGGGGAGGGTGGGTAGGAGCAGAGAGGCAGGTTGGGTACGGAGGGTCGGTGGATGGGTTCAAGCACCAGCTTGCAGTGCCACCAGTGCTGCGCGCCCACCAGTGCTGCGCGCCCACCAGTGCCCACACAATCTCCTCTTCTCCAATTGGTGGTTGCTGCATCGCACCTGGTGGTTACCGCATCGCACCTAGTGGTTACCGCATCGCACCTGGTGGTTACCGCATCGCACCTGGTGGTTATCACATCGCACCTGGTGGTTACCACATCGCACCTGGTGGTTACCGCATCGCACCTGGTGGTTACCACATCGCACCTGGTGGTTACCGCATCGCACCTGGTGGTTACCGCAGTGCGTGCAGGCAGCACAGGGCACGTAGGTGATGCTGCTGCCCGTATCAGCGCAAACCGCTGTGGCGGCCACCCCAGGTACAGCGTCACGTAGTAGTACCTGGGGGGGGGAGGGAAGGGAGGGGCGCACGAGGGTGGGGCGGGGTTGGGGTTGAAGAGATGGTGGGGCGAGGAAAGGATTGGCGCAGGCAAAGTTTGAGGGGAAGGTGGGGTGGGGTGTGTGAGTGGGAGAGGATCCGAGGAACGGAGGCGCATGAGCAGCAGCAGCAGCAGCACATGAAACCCATCATAGCCTCAACCTTTGTAACTTTAACTCCCCCATCCATGCCCTAACTCCCCCACTCATCCTAGGCCCACGGCCTCTGCATCCGCTAGTCACCCACTGCAGCCCCACCACCCGTGCGCTTCACATACCCCAGCTCCAGCACCCACCCCAGCTCCACCACTCACCCCAGCTCCACCACTCACCCCAGCTCCAGGACGGACCCCCGCAGGTCAAGCGGCAGCCCCCGCAACTGCCGCCTCCGCGTTCCCGCCTCTCCGCCTCCCCCCTCTCGCGGCGCCTCCCCTGCCCCAGCACGCCCACCCCCGCCTGTCTTCCGCTCCCGCGAGTGCGCTCGCCGCACCTGCCGCTGCAGGGGCAGTACGATGGGCGCCGCCCTCCCCGCAACTGCTTCTCGCTTCAGCCCCGCGCGCGGCGTCCGCCCTTCGTCTTCGTCTTCCCCTCCCGTCTCCCCGTCCCCGTCTTCCCGCTCTCTCCGCGTCAGCGACTCCGCGATCGCCGCCGCCCATTGCGCGTGCGAGGCAACCCGCCTGGAAGCCGCCGAGCCCGATTCCAAAGCTGAATCCGAATCCGAGCCTGCGGTGGAAGCGGAACTGAATGGTTTCCCCGGGGGAGCTCCCTCGCGGGTGGACGGCCACGCCGCCGCGTCCGCGCTGCCTGCGCCACTCGCCGCGCCTCTCGCGGCAGCGGTCGCGGGCAGGCGGAGGTTGGCGTCCCCCGATAGCACAACGCGGGATCGCACGAGCGCGCGCGGCGACGCGAGGAGGAGAAGGAAAACGGCGGGGAGCGCGAGTAACGGATGGAGAAGGCGGCGGGGTCGAGCGTGAGTGAGCCGCGTCGCGAGAAGCGTTTCGCGCCGCCAGCGACGAGCGACGACTCGCCGTCGAGTTGTCGCCACCGTGTGCTGCCATGGTGGGCGTGTCGTGCAGGCATCATCCATGCGCCTCCCCGCACCGCTTTCTACCGGGCCCGCACACCAGCTGCGCTGCAGAACTCACGTGAATCTTGCCACGTGGCCGACGCGGACTAGGTGTCACGGCCACCACTAAGGGAACGGCTGCGAGTCGCGAAAGCTAGTGAGCAGCGCGGCGCGCAGGAGTGGGTAGAGCGCGAATCTAGTGGCGCGCTGACTGCTGTCGAGCGGCCTGACCGCGGCTCACAGCGCTACGGTGCAGTTTCCAGCACTACGGCGCGTTTGAAGCATTGCGGCGCGTATTATAAGCACTAGGCACGTTTTCGGCACTATGACGCGTTTTCAGCAGTATAGCGCGTTTTCAGGACTCCTGGCTCGCGCAAGAGAGCGAGGAGCGCGTGGGTATCGTGCTGCTGGTGGGAGGTCAGTTGCCAGCAAGGGTTGATGCTAAGGGAAAGAAACACCGATTGAGGGTGGTGAAGGCTGGCTGCAGCAGGGCAGAGCCCAACCAACTCCTTGTCGTATCACCCAAAAGAGTATGCAGTGAAACCCCCCCCATTCAACTCTGCTCTCCGCTGAACCCTGCTTGGCTCGTTTTCAGTTCATGCATCATGGTTCAGACTGGTGCGTAACGGTTCAAAACGGTGAAACTATTATACCGCTCCAGACTCCACAGCATCGCACACCACCGCTTATCTTGAACCGAAAACGAGTCAAGCCTGACCCGCCCGCCGCCAAGATCGACAGACAGATCTGACGGCCTGGGTTGGGATGTCGCCTCGTGGACACGCGAAAATCGTCCGCACCGCAACCAAGCATCGCAGATTCGCAGCGCTTCGCGGGGACAGGGCGAGGAGTATGGGTTGGGAGAAAGGCATGCCAGCGCCAGTGGCGCCATGTGGCTGGCTGGCAACACCTGAGATACTTCCTACCAGCAAGGCGGGAAACAAACTCAACTGCGATATCCGTTAAAGTTGAATGTCGAAATATTTTCGTCCAGATGTTTCATTGTGTGCTTTATACTTCTTCATGGAAATTCTACTTGCAATTAGTCTGAATCATGTGCACCATTGTCTGACCGTTGGTTTGCGGCCGCGAGGCTAGAGTGTAATTATACGAACATATATACTTAAGAATGGATGTGCATTGAGGGTCATTGCTGAGGAAATGTATAAACGATATAGTTACATATTAGTATTAAAACAAGAGTGTATTATCTGTATTGTTCCTTTGTTGCAGTGCGGGCGGCGATAAACTTAGCATCTGCAGACGAATGGGCAAACAGTTCCTGTTTGCTTGATTGCCAAAGAGATTGTCCTAACAAGTTCAAGCCGGAACGTAAATCTTGTACGTGAGCACATGCTTTTAGTATCACAGGAGTGATCTGTCGACATAGCCGAGTAGTTCAAGCTTAGATATCAGCGATTTATGGTAGGTCGGACTGATAGTAGGAGTCGAGATCAGGGTTGTCCCTAGGATCTGAGGACGCTCGATCCATCGAACGGGCCCTCCAAGCGCGTTTGATCCATCACAAGTATGTCATTTCCCTGTCTGATGAAACAGAAATTTGCATAGTCCATTCTTGATGTATCAAATGAAAGTATCTTTCCAATTATGATACCTTTATTATGTGTGCCAGAGTCAGAATCAGCAGCAGCGTACTATAGTGTTATAATAGACCCTTTAAATAGATACAAGTCAACATAGTGAAGTTTTTTATTACTATATCATTGCAGCCTTTATTACAAACAACTCTCTAAAAGTCGTTAAGTGCCAATAACCTGCCAACTAACACTAGTTGTTCAGACCTAGCTAACTAGTGACTAGATATTACTCTACTATACTCTGTGTCAGAATCCAGCGCCACAGTACCATGGACATCAAGCCCATTGTCCTCGTCATCATCACTATCACGGATAGCAGCAGGGGCCTTGCCCTTCTTCCTCGTCATCTCCGTTTCCTGCACTTGCTCATCTTCGTCGTCTGCTTTTTCCTCAGCTGCTTTCCTCTCTCTTTCGGCCTTCATCTTCGGCGCTCTCTCTCGAGTGCACTTCTTTATCGTCACTTCCCTAGCCCGTCGGCGCTTCTTTGTCCCCCTCTAGACGGCCACAACCTCGTCCCAATTAGGATCGTACTACAGCAGCGAGACGCACATCAACTCTGCCAGGTGAGTGTTGCACATATTTCTTCGAAGCCATGAATTGATCACATTATGCTTGGAGAAGCCGCGCTCACACTCGACGGTGCTCAACGGCAGATTGGCGACTGCGACCCAGAGGCGCACCATGTTGGGGAAACTTGTCTCCTAATCATCACAGCGCAGCATGTGATTGAGACAGGCATGGAATGTCTGATCTTTGTAGTGAGACGCCATCATCCTTATGAACGGCACGAGCTCCCGTGCCACCTTCTTCCAGCTCAGTCGTGCACACGCATAATCGCACGTACGAGCGGGGCGGGGGGGATTAGTGTACGAGAACACTATTCACTTAACACTAATCCACATACATCCACTGACATGGGAGCACACACTTTCCACCAAGAACAACTCGCGGAGAGGTCGGAATCAGGCCACGCAGACCCGTTCTCTCCTCGCGGCACCGTTCGGGTATGCGTCTAGCAGAAACAGCTTCGCTCCGCTGAGAGACTCAAGGCTCTCCATCCCCTTCATGAGGTGCTTGACAACTTCCTGCGCAAAGAGGGAGGTAACAGTGATACAATATTCGAGACCACCCTTGGACACCTGCCCCTTGATGGCGTCCTCGTGAAGCTTGAAGGTGTGGGTGACGGGACTTTCTTCCGCATCCATGCCCTCGACTGTCACCATCCGCTTCGAGGTTGGGCCATGCTGCTCCAGGAAGTCAGTCAACAGCTCGCTGTCCTCGGCGTAGTTGATGCCGTGTTCTATGCATCGTTGTTTCAGCTTCTCGTATCTATTGTGGACCATGGCTGTCACACGGGTGATGTCCACTTGCACAGTGCAAGAAGTGGTTGTTAGATTAATATAAAAAAAAAATAGTGACAACATTAGCATACAAAATTCTAGCATAAAAGCTCACAGTGCGCCGTTGCAACTTCTTGTTCAGATCGTTCAGCTCCTTCAGCACATCTGCCAGGAAATAGAGGAAAAGGTGAAATTTGAAGCTGGCGACTTTCGCGTATGCTGACGTGTCGTGCTCCCACAAAACATCAATTGTTGCCGAGAGAACTACCACGAGCCGTTCGTGCTCCCTCAAAACAACAATTGTTGCCGAGAGAACTGCCACGAGCCGTTGAATCGCATCGCCACGTGATAGACAGCGGATGTCCTTAATGCCCTACATCTCCAGTGTTGTCTCGTGCATAATGTTTTGAAGTTCGATGAATCATGAGTGGACAACGATGCTGCGACTGAGGTTCTCGGCGACGCTCCGTACGACTTTGTCGACCAGGTCGAGGTCAGGCACAACTTCTGCTGCGTCCTTCTCGGCAAGAGCCTCCCTGCATGGATTGCAAAACAACGTGTATGAGAACAGTGCTCTCAGCCCAGATCGCAACAACAGTAGCATACAACATTCTAGCACACAAAAGTGAAGTCGATGAAGTGACGCGTCACCACATGGGGCACTCGCAGTTTGAGCTGGGTCATCACTCCGTTCTGAGAACCCCGCATCACGTTCGCGCAATCTGTGCTGATGCCCACGATTTTGTTGATGTCGATGCCGGTGTTTTCCAGATGTGCAAGAAGAACCGTCAAAAGAGAGGAAGCGTCACACTTCTCGATGGTCAGTTGCCCAAATAACTTGGTGACGATCTCTGCGTCGCGGACGAAAGACATGTAGACGTTCATGTGCTCCCCTCTGCGACAGTCGTTGCTCTTGTCGTGTTGAATGCCAAGGAATGGAGACGACTGGTTGTGGCGCATCTGCTGCTGCTTGAGGTTTGTGACGAGCGCTTCGGTAATTTCACGAAATCCATACCTGTACATCAGATTCGAAAGGTATTAGTCAACATTCACAATAAAACCACAAAGCACAAGATAATCATCACTCACGCTGACTGGTATGGCCCCGTCTGGAATGTGAGGCACTCTCAAGTTGGCCAGCAAACGAACAAGACCAACAAACAGAGAGATGGGGGAATCTGATTTGCAATTGAATAGCACAGTCAGCATTTGTTGTTTCAACCTCGATGTCTCGTCGTCATCATTCTCGTATTTGGCGATGCCTCTTTGAGTGACCTTACCGCCTTTTGCGCGTAGCTATGCATCAACGGCGTCCTGGTGCTTCTTATGAGACGGTGCTTCCGCATCGACTGCCGCTGGATGTCAACTCCGCCCTTCACAAGTCTGCTGTACTTCCAATTTCCAGGACCATGGGCCATGCATATGCTGCACTTCATGCACGGAGTCCCGTCCTTCCGTTGCGTGATGATCAACCACTTGAATTCTCCCTTCCAATACTCCTTCGACCGAGCATGAAGTTCAGACATCCAGCAGTCTGGATATGGAACATTAATGCTACTCCTCGACGGCCCATGATCACCTATCGGATGAGCTGTTGGTGGGGTTGATGATCCTCCTACTCTAGGCGTCGTTGTGGGGCGAGCGATGATGCGAATGTGTGGAACGCATGTCTTAGCAAACCGAAGGGTGCTCTGAGTGAATCGCGGGACCGCATCATTACGTGATGCGCTAATCGAAGACCGCGGTCTAGGAGTAGGCGGCTGATTCCGAGTAGACGGACTAGGTGTGCTGCTGAAAGCCCGTTGAACATTAAGCTCAGGTCACGAAACAGGGAAGATGCTACAGGAACGCGCGTCCGAGAGGATGAACCTAACACGGCAGCTGGCTGGGATCGACGTAGGAAATCTAGGCCCGTTACAGGTGGGTGGGGCCATGGGGAGGGTGTTTCAGCAGCATATGCATCATCCGCCATGGCGAGAAGACGGACGAATGGGTAACGGGATAGAATGGAAGATTGACAGCAGGAAAAGGCTAAAAGGGGCATTTGCAAGAGAGGGTTGGAGAAGAAGGGTCCCTCGAAACC